CCTCCTAAGGCAGCATATACGGTTGCTACACTTAATACTAGTATCACTGCCTATTTTGTCTACTTTGTCTTCCTCTTACATTTACCTTTTTTTAAAAAAAAAATGCTTTTTCTCAAGTTTTAGTAAATGCAAGAACAAATGTTTGCCTTTTTATATATATTTAAAATAACAGGATTCCCCCCCCCCCCCAAGCGCAATGTGGAAAGTGTTTCTACTTATTCTAACAAGAACCACTCCTGAACTGACCCTTAGTACTCTCCACTTTAAGTTAAGCATACCTTTTATAATCTTGTAGTTCTCTCATGCATCCACTTTAGCATAAGAGGAAGACTATCCATGTGTGCCCGCAAGTCAAGCAGTAGTTTTGCACACAATGATATTTTAATTATGTCATTGAGGTATCCATGTGGAGTTGGAGAGTCACAAAACCAACAGCAATTCTAGAACTGAGAGAATGAGTCAGACCTTTAAAATATCCCATGCAATGTGTATCTAATATTTTAGATCTCTGACAGAGAGATACTACAAATACATAGTATTGTTGTTATTGCCCCAACTTTATTCTCCATCTTCATCACTATGATATTTCATCTTTTTGACGGGAAGCTTCTCACCAGAGTGGAAATCATCTATTGGACAGATAGCAAGCTATTTAACCTCAGCAGACTGAAAACCAAGGTTACAACAACATCTGTTATAGAACTCCAGTATGCTGATGATAACGTTGTCTGTGCGCATTCAGAAGAAGACCTACAAGCCACTCTAAACACCTTTGCAAAAGCATATGAGAAGCTCGACCTGTCATTGAACATCAAGAAAACCAAAGTCCTCTTCCAGCAGTCACCAGCCAATCCCTCTCCAATGCCAGAGATACAGCTTAATGGTGTAACATTCAAAAATGTTGACCATTTCTGCTACCTTGGCAGCCACCTCTCCACCAAAGTCAACATCGACACCGAAATACAGCACCACCTGAGCTCTGCAAGTGCAGCATTTTTCCGAATGAAGCAGAGAGTGTTTGAGGACCGGCACATCCATAGGGATACCAAGGTGCTTGTTTATAAAGCTATTGTCCTCTCAACCCTGCTGTATGCCTGCGAAACGTGGACTGTCTACAGATGTCACATGCAACTCCTAGAACGATTCCATCAGCATTGCCTCCAGAAAATCCTGCAAATATCTTGGAAAGACAAGCGGACAAATGTCAGCGTGCTGGAAGAAGCAAAGACCACCAGCACTGAAGCGATGGTCCTCCATCATCAACTCCGCTGAACCGGCCATGTTGTCCGGATGCCTGACCACCGTCTCGCAAAGCTGTTGCTCTACTCCGAACCCAAGAACAGAAAACGGAAGGTTGGAGGGCAGGAAAAGAGATTTAAAGATGGGCTCAAAGCCAACCTTAAAAACTCTGGCATAGACACTAAGAACTAGGAAGCCCTGTCCTCTGTGTGCTCCATCTGGAAGTCAGCTGTGACCAGCAGTGCTGCAGAATTTGAAGAGGCACGAATGGAGGGCGAAAGAGAGAAATGTGCCATGAGGAAGGTGTGTCAAGCCAACCCTGACCGGGACCGCCTTCCACCTGGAAACCAATGCCCTCACTGCGGGAGAGAATGCAGATCAAGAATTAGGCTCCATAGTCACCTACGGACCCACCCTGGAGGATTATCCTACTTGGACAATGAAAGATCATCTAAGTATTATTATTATAATTAATTATTTAGGATTCATCCCACCTCTTAAAGTAAATGTAGCTCTAGAAACACTGGTAGCACAATTGAAACTTATTAAGTTGATACACAGATCTGGACATCTGTCGTATTCAAGTAACATCTTAAAACATTTATTCTGAAAATCACTTGCATAGGACTGGCAATGTTGTGGGTTTTAAAAAAATATTATAATGAATTATTGATATCTGGAATATAAAATTCTTGATCCCTGGCTACTAAGTGGGAGAAATAACTTCGTGTTGTTCCACTCTACAATTTCATTTTTGAGAAATATGAGAAAACTGTATTCCTTTGTGGAGCTATGGACAATATTTTTGTTAAACTAAATTATCTTTCTTCATAAAAGCTTGTGATAGGAATATTAAATTGGTTCTAAAACATAGGTATGTGGGAGTTAGACAGATCGACTGAAGATAAAATAAGTGGTGACTGTCAGTGAAATCCCTGGCTAATATCTTAAAGTGTTGTTTGAGAAGTTTTCCTCACTTAGTTGAATCCAGACAAGACAGAGGCAGGCATGTAGCCCGGGGGGGAGGGGCTTGAGGGGCTTCAGCCCACCCCGAAATTCTCATGGTGGTCTGCGAGAAGGCCTTACTGGTACATTATTTAAACTGTTATGTTTATTCATATCATGATCTGATCACCATGCTCAATATATCCCATATGCATGGGGGTATTGGGGTAATGATACAAAAGGTTTGCTAGGGTAGACCCCCTTTCACTCAGACTCAGCCCCCCCCCCCCGAATCAAACTCAGCCTCTCCTGAATCGAAATCCTGGCTACGGGCCTGGACAGAGGTACTCCTGGTCAGTCGCAAGACTGAATAGGGAATAGGGTTCCAGCCTGTGTTGGATGGGGTTACACTCTCCTTGAAGGTTCTCAGCTTGGGAGTTCTCCTGGATTCATTGCTGAACCTTGAACTCTAGTTTTCGGTGGTGGCCAGGGGAGCTTTTGCACAATTAAAACTTGTCCATCACTTGCACTCATACCTTGGGAAGTTAGATTTGGACACAATGGCCCACGCTCTTGTTACATCAAGAATAGATTACTGCAACGTGCTCTACGTCGCCTTTGAAGAATGTTTGGAAGTGGTCAAGTGGCCTAATGGTTGGCAGCCAGATTGCTCAACGGAGCGGTGTACAGGGAGCATACAACTCCCCTGTTACATCAGCTCCACTGGCTGCAAGTCTGCTTCTGAGCACAATTCAAATTGCTGACTTTAGCCTATAAATCCCAAAATGGTTCCGGCCAAGCTTACCTATCCAAATGTATCTCCCTCTATGACCCACCTCAGAGGTTAAGATTCTTGGTCTCGGTCCCATCCCCCTCGCAAGCACGACTGGTGGGGATAAGAGACAGGGCTTTCTCAGTGGTGGCTTCTTACCTATGGAACTCCTTTTCCAGTGAAATTAGATCTGTCTCATCCCTCCTGATCTTCAGGAAAAAACGGAAAGCATGGCTCTGGGATCAAGCTTTCGGCCAGTAATGCGAGTAGTGGAATATGAGACTACAAATTGATATAATGACAACTCCCATCAGCCCTGGAATACGATTTGGATCATGTGATTTTTCTTGATGTTTTAATGCTATGTTTTAATGGGTTTTAAAGAGCAAACCACAGACCACCTACAATGTAACCTGAACCCTGCCACATACACAATGGAGGACCTTCTTGCAGCAACACCAGAGGCACTCCAAGTGGCCAGCTACTGGTCAAAGGACATTTAATAGAATGCCAAGTTTGCAAATTGTTTTTAAAAAAATACAATACAACTGTTTGATTTGCTCCTGACATGATAAATAAAAAAAATGGGTTTGGTTTTAATGTTTTTATTTACCAATGTATTAATATATGGCATTGAATTATTGCCTTTGTAAGGCCGCCCTGAGTCCCCTTCGGGGTTGAGAAGGGCAGTGTATAAATTTGGTAAATAAATAAATAAATAGTTTTCTTAGTGTGTTTATGTGTTTTAGCAATGTTATGCATTTTAGCAAGCCATGAAGAGAGGTGGTTTAAAATAAAATTATTATTATTATTATTATTATTATTATTATCATCATCATTATTATTATTATTTGAAACACAACAAGAGTCCACAGCAGACAAGATCACTCTGCTGGCTGTTGAACGTCAGACACTTCCCAAGTGTCTAGGACTGTGTGATGTATTGGCAAATAATGTGTGCAGATCCCAGTAAGGTGGCCTTCTGCAGCTGGCAGATGGTAATTTTGTCAGCGCCGATTGTGTTTAAGTGCAGGCCAAGGTCTTTAGGCATTGCACCTAGTGTGCCGATCACAACTGGGACCACCTTTACTGGTTTGTACCAGAGTCTTTGCAGTTCGATTTTTAAATCCTCATATGTCAGCTTTTCCAGTTTCTTCTTCTTCTTCTTCTTCTTCTTCTTCTTCTTCTTCTTCTTATTATTATTATTATTACAATTATGCTGGGGAAAATGGAAGCAAAAAGGAAGAGGGGCCGACCAAGGACAAGATGGATGGATGACTGACCTTGAAAGAGCTGGGGGTGGTGACACCCGACAGGGAGCTCTGGCGTGGGCTGGTCCATGAAGTCAGGAAGAGTCGAAAATGACTGAACGGATGAACAACATTATTATTATTATTTATCTGAGAGCAACACAGCTTAAAAGTGCTGAACTGTGGGTCTCATGGATACTGTCATAAATTGCGGTTTGAAATTGTAAGTGAGACATGGGTTACACCACAATCCAGGTTTAGGTTAAGCTTTATTGTTGGGAACATCTTTAGATATTGGCAAGATACTGCATTAAATTTAGAGTGGGTCACACACAGTCACATCTATCAATCTTCATGTCAGCAGGATAATGAAGCCATTCTGGGTTTCACTTTGAACTTTAAAGGAACTATCCAAAGTACAGACCCTATCCCCAATCAATTTAGCACTGGATAACTTGCTCAAAGTTTGGACCAAAGCACAGAACGGAGTCACCATAGAAACCATCTACCATTACTGGTCACACTTGTGCCTCAATGAATATGAAAGATTGAGTAGCAGATGGGGGAAAGCATAGCATTTCTTGACAGCCATCACTTTGTGGCTTAGAATAGTATAAAATATGCAAAGCTTGTTACAGCGCAAGCTGTTGCTACACAAGCAATTTGTGAATTCCCAAAGCTGTGTTTGGCAATTTGAACTTAAACTTCTCCTACTTATAACTAGATGCAAACTCACTGTATCTTCCGTGTCTTTAGTCTTATGAGATTTTAATTTATTTATTTCTTTTTTGCAGCAAACTTCCAAGTTGGGCAAGAGCCGTTGTCCCGAAAATATTTTACGTTACAGAGAAGGCCTGGAATTATTATCCATACACAATTACAGGTATGTTGTTATTGTTGTTGTTGTTGTTTTAGGGGAAAGCACTTGCTTCTAATGTTTTCAGCTTTAAAGGGTTGTTTTTCTCTTGAAGACAAATAAATTGGCATAAGCTTTTGTGGATTTGAGCCTCCTTCATCTGATGTATGAAGTGTAATCCTCATCTGCAGGCACACATCTCAAGATTAGATGGGATGTGATGCAGAATTGTAAGCAGCTCAGAAGGAATTCAGTAACAAAAAATAGCTTGAATGCATGTAACATGAAAGCATGGTCCCTTTGCAGATATAGGCGATAGTAATACAGGTTGAGTATCCCTTGTTCAAAATGCTTGGGACCAGAAGTATCAAAACGAATATGGAACTCGGGGTTCAGAATTGCAAATTTGAATCCCCCCCCCCCCCAATCTTCCAGAATCTTCCCGATTCTGGAGTGGAGTGAAAATTGAAATGAAAACAGAACAGTCATTGGAGTCTACATCCCCCCTCCACTTGTGGGAAAGTTTGTTTCCACAACCCCTGTTTTAATTAGCCCCACCCCCTTCCACAAATAACCTGTTTCTCCTTTATCTCACCCGAGTTTTTAATCAGTTATTAATTCGTTTTTCTTTTAATCATTATATGTACCCTGCCCATTGTGACTGTGATTGTGTTTACTATAATTTTATGTCGTTATGCATTCATATGTTTTATGTAATTATGATGTTGTTTATTGTTTTCGTTTTTATTTTGCTATTATTATTATTATTATTATTATTATTATTATTATTATTTCTGCTATTCACGCACCTCTAATTGCACAATGAGATATCTTGGAGATGGCTCTCCTGTCTTCTAGTCCAACACTCAAACTACTTGTTATAGTCACTGTGTTACCTGAGAAGAAACAACTCACAGGCAATGCAAAAGGCTGACAGGTGGACCTGCAACTCTGGAGAGGTTGCTCCCAAGTCTTGAGAGCCTTCCACCCATGGTGTTGGAAAAGGACCCATAACTCCCTGAGTAGAGCACACGTTCTGCATTCAGATAGCATCTGATTCAACCTCTGGCATCTCCCATTATAATCTGTATAAATAAAAATGTAATCTTCGATTGTGGGATTAACATAACTCAAAAACCACTGGATGAATTGCCACCAAATTTGGACACAATAGACCTATCAGGCCAATGAGTGACCATCACCCATAAAAACACTGAAAAACACAGCAGAAGAGACTTCAAAAGCCAAAAAATGATAAATACATTACAATGCATGTGCATAACCACAGATATAGACATATACACGCACACAAAAACACATACACAGACTGGGCCACAGCAACGCGTTATCTATATAAATAAAAATGTAATGTTTGTTTGTGGGATTAACATAACTCAAAAACCACTGGACGAATTGCCACCAAATTTGGACACAATAAACCTATCAGGCCAACGAGTGACCATCACTCATAAAAACACTGGAAAACACAGCAGAAGAGACTTTAAATGCCAAAAAATAAAAAAAATACATTACAATGCATGTGCAAAACCACATATATACACACATATACACACACGCAAAACACAGACTGGGCCACAGYAACATGTGGCAGGGGATGGTTAGTCTGTATAAATAAAAAATGTAATGTTCGTTTGTRGGATGAACATAGTTCAAAAACCACTGGACGAATTGACACCAAATTTGGACACAATCCACCTATCAGGCCAATGAGTGACCATCACTCATAAAAACACTGAAAAACACAGCAGAAGATACYGAAAAGCCAAAAAATTTAAAAATACATTACAATGCRTGCACAAAACCACATATATATACGCAAACACACATATATACACATATACACAAATATATACACACACAAAGCACATATATGCAGATTGGGCCACAGCAAAGCCTGGCTGGGGACGGCTAGTGTAAAATAAATAGAAGTATGTCCTATGAGGAGAACCCAAGAGATCAACCATCGGAGCATAGTATGTTTGGCTGGAAGAAAAATAGTCACAGCTTTCTCCCCATTTCCACCATCATCCCAACAGTTAGCAGTGGTTCTCAACCTGGGGTCCCCAGATGTTTCTGGCCTACGACTCCCAGAAATCCTAGCCAGTTTACCAGCTGTTAGGATTTCTGGGAATTGAAGGCCAAAAACATCTGGGGACCCCAGGTTGAGAACCACTGAGTTAGAGCCTTGTTATGGACCACCTTCCATCTGGAAACCTATGTCCTCATTGTGAGAGACCTTGTGGATCCAGAATAGGTCTCTAAATCCACTTATGGAGCCTCCACCAAGACTCTACCCTTGGAAGGCAATCATGCTCAGCCATGAGTGATTGCCTGTGATGATGGTGAAGGATAGATTAACCTGTTGGCTGTCAGAGCTACAGGGAATGAGGGAGGAGTACAAGTCGGGACGGGCCAGGTATGTGGTGTCAAATGTGTGACCCTCCAGGTGTTTTGGAATTCAGCTCCCAGAATTCTTGGCTATTGGACAAGCTGGCTAAGGCTTCTGAGAGTTGGCGGCCTAGACATCTGGAGGACTACAAGTTTGACACCTCTGAGCTAAGTGACCTCATGGAGGCAAATTGCCGGGCCCCTACACCTTGTGCAAGAGGGGATTTCTACGTGTGGAACTTGGTTGTGTGAACTTCCCTTGCTGAAATTCCATCTTCCCTCTTTCTCCTGCTGTTGCCAACTTCCCTCATTCATTGTTTAGGGAGATTATTTCTGTGCCGAGCCCTGTTTGGTCCTACACAGCTCCTGCTTTTAGAACAAAAGAAGGGTTGAACCCGTCCTTCACCGAGATAGGGAGAAAGGATGACTTGTGGAGACAGCTTAGCATACTGTCTCACAGTGTGTTCCTCCTTCCAGAAATAGATTTGATGTGAGGAAAGAAAAGCACGGAGGAAAAAACAATCAATTTTGTCCTTCTTCCTCCCACCTACACTGTAACAGTTCCTTCATGTTCTACTTGTTTTTCTATTTAGAATATTAGTATAACCCTTTAACCATGAATATGGCAGGTAATGAACAGAAGCGGGAAACCATTTGTTGCCAAGGCTTCAACTAGATATTTTGTTAGACAGTTATGTAATTGCAGCCATTAAATACAGGTGTGGGATGGTGATTTAAATTCTCATTGGAAAAATGTGCTTAACCTGTCTTGGGCTCCAGACGGTAAGAATGACATTTGACATGGAGTACCAAACCAGTAGCTAATCAACGTATAGGTCAATTTCATTGATTCAAGAGGCCTACTTTAGGTGGAACTAACAATAAGATTCAGACTAATATCTCCTCCTGTCCAAATCATAAAATGGCTTGAATCACTATCTGGTGATGGGTGGATCTGTCTTCTTTCTGATGAGCACCATTTTATTTATTTATTTGAGTCATCAGCAACCAGTCAGTTATATTACATTTCTAACAGAACAAAGCAAACAAACAGACAAAATACAAAAATACAGAATACAGAATACAATATATGTGAGTTTGGTAGTTGATTAAATGTCCTTTGACCAGTATCTGACCACTTAGAGTGCTTCTGGTGTTGCTGCAAGAAGGTCCTCCATTGGGCATGTGGCAGGGCTCAGGTTGCATTGCAGCAGGTGGTCAGTGGTTTGCTCCTCTCCACACTCACATGTCAAAGATTCCACTTTGTAGCCCCATTTCTGAAGGTTGGCTCTGCATCTCGTGGTGCCAGAGCGCAGTCTGTTCAGCGCCTTCCAAGTCGCCCAGTCCTCTGTGTGCCCAGGGGGGAGTCTCTCATTTGGTATCAGCCATTGGTTGAGGTTCTGGGTTTGAGCCTGCCACTTTTGGACTCTTGCTTGCTGAGGTGTTCCAGCGAGTGTCTCTTTAGATCTTAGAAAACTATTTCTAGATTTAAGTCATTGACGTGCTGGCTGATATCCAAACAGGGGATGAGCTGGAGATGTCTCTGCCTTGGTCCTTTCACTATTGGCTGCTACTTCCCGGCGGATTTCAGGTGGTGCGATACCGGCTAAACAGTGTAATTTCTCCAGTGGTGTAGGGCGCAGACACCCCTTGATAATGTGGCAATGAGCACCATGGTAGTGTTAGTGGTTCATGAAGAGGGGCAGAAAAGCAAGAATTACACAGAAACATTTATTTATTTGAAACATTTTTAGTCCACCCTTCTCACCACAAAGGGTACTCAGGGCCGAGCACAACATATATACGGCAAGTATTCCATGCCGGGATATAAAATAATTATAAATATATACAAACACTAAAATCAGTTACATCTACATTTAAAATCAGTTTAAAACCATCTCAAAATACCATGCTGGCTCCAGTCAGTGGAATGGGTTTGCTATTATTGCCTTATTGCACTGCCCCAAAGGCTTGGTCCGACAACCAGGTTTTTGCCATCTTCTAAAGGACAGGAGGGAGGGGGCGATCTAATCTTAATACGCAAATGTCCTATTACTATAAGCTTCAGCACAAATAATAATAATAATAATAATAATAAATAATAATAATTTTAAAAAACTTTATTTGTACCCCGCTACCATCTCCCCAAGGGACTCGGTGCAGCTTACATGAAGCCAAGCCCACAGCACATCAATAAACAAAGGCAATAACAAATAATCAATACAAACAGTTAAAAAATGAAATAAATAAATAAATACTCAAAACAAAAAATACACAATAAGCAATAAACAATAACAATAATAACATACAGCATTTAAAAACCTATGGCCAGGCCAAATGTAATAATTAAAATTTAAAATGCTGGGCATGAGCAAGGTAAGGTAAACTAGGATAGGGTTTTCAGAGAAAGATGAGGGCGCGCAGACAATCCCAAATCAATATTAAAGTGCATTTGAGGACATATTGCTAAAGGTTTTCTTATTCTGGGAAGGCACACTGGAACAACCATGTTTTCAGGCTCCTCCTAAAGACTGCCAGCGTTGGGGCATGTCTGATGTCCTTAGGGAGGGAATTCCAGAGTCGAGGGGCTACCACCGAGAAGGCCCGCACCAATCGCGCCTGCGAAGGAGGTGGGGGCGTGAGCAGGGCCTTTCCATATGATCAAAGAGATCATGTGGGTTCATACACAGTAATACGGTCACACAGGTAGGCGAGTCCCAAACTGCTCAGGGCTTTATAGGTAAGAACCTGCACCTTGAATTGGGACCAATACCAATTGGAATGTATTAGCATTGTATTTATAGATATCTGTGTAGTTAGAGTGATCTAATCTTGCCAGGTAGGGACTTCCATAGCCAAGGGGCAATCACTGAGAAGGCCCTGTCTCTCGTCCTCAGCAAATACACCTGTAACGGTGGTGGGACCAAGAGTAGGGCCTCCCCAGAAGATCTTAGTCTTTGTGGTGGTTCATAGAGGGAGATGTGTTTGGACAGGTAAACTGGGCCAGAGCCATTTATTTATTTATTTCCAATATTTCTATCCTGCCTTTCTCAACCCCCCAAGGGGGGACTCAGGGTGGCTTACAAAACGGCCAGAATTCGAAGCCTCAAGATAATACAAGACCACATTTCTGTGTACRAACCCACACGATCTCTTCGTTCATCTAGAGAGGCCCTGCTCACGCTCCCACCTCCTTCGCAGGCGCGATTGGTGGGGACGAGGGAGAGGGCCTTCTCGGTGGTGGCCCCCTGACTCTGGAACTTACTTCCAAAGGACATCAGACATGYYCCAACTCTGGCAGTCTTTAGAAGGAGTCTGAAAACGTGGTTGTTCCAGTGTGCCTTCCCAGAATAAGGAAAACTCTCAGCAATATGCTCTCAAAATGCACTTTACCACTGATTTAGGACTGACTGCTTTCCCTCATCTCTCTTTGAAAAACCCATGAGAGAAGCTTCCCACAAGGATGGTAAAAAAAATATATCATCCTGTTAATATCCTACCTTGTTCATGCCCAGCATTATTTTTTAAATTTTAAATTATTACATTTGGCCTGGCCATAGGTTTTATTTTTTTAAATGCTTGTGTGTTACTGTTATTGTTTATTGCTTATTTTTTGTTTATGTGATTTATATTAATTGTTTGGTATTGATTGTTTTTGTTATTGCTTTTGTTTACTGATGTACTGTGGGCTCGGCCTCATGTAAGCCGCGCCGAGTCCCTTGGGGAGATGGTAGCGGGGTATCAATAAAGTATTATTATTATTATTATAAATACAAATAGCAACAGTTTAACACAGTAAATAAAACATTAAGTTTAAAACACGTTAAAAACATTGTCATCAACCATATAGCCAATTTCAGGCCGGTTCGTAGGACTTTATAGGCCAAAGCCAGCACTTTGAATTGTGTCCGGTAGCAAACAGGCAGCCAGTGGTGCTGACGTAACAAGGGAGTTGTGTGCTCCCTGTATTCAGCCCCAGTTATTAACCTGGCTGCCTTTGTAGTTCAGAAACCCCTGTGCACCAACTTTTGAATCAAAAATTTCAAAAATGATCTCCTACGCTGTGTTCTATCTCAAATAATCCACAGGGGTTGCATTATTACTCCTAGCCAGCTCAATTATTAAAGTGTATTTCATTTTAATTAAAGCAATATGAACAATAAAATAATTATGCCATTGTTTTTGTTTTTCTTCTCTTTCCATTGGGCAAATTTGGATCAGAATACACGGTAAGTCATTCTTACTCTTCCTAATCTTAATTAAGTGGGAGGGTATTGGTAATAAAACTATTACTGGAGGCTCAAAAGTAGGCTCTTTCTTCGTGGTGCAATAGAATGCTCCATAGGAGATGGATGACTCGTTTAAAGAATTGGATGTGACAGCTAATATTATGGGGATATTTATCAGTTATTTATATATTATGATAATTTCAAACACTTGATATGTTTTGTCATGCAGTAGGAGTAATAGAAAAATTGTAAAAATAAAAAAGATCAAGGACCATCAAAGTGTTAGTCTAGCTCCAGCTTTTATTTTAGTTTTTATTCTTATAAAATAGGTATTGATCTAGTTACATTCGTTCCAAGGGATGTTCGATTTGTCCTCTCTCTACCATGTTTTCGCTGGCAAGCAGATATCTTCTTATTTAATTAATCATCAGCCTTGGTGTGACATGTAATTGGAGGTGCCATTTTAATATACAGTACACTGTGTATTTTAAGTGTTTTCCTAGTTTTAAATGTTAGTGTTGGAAACATAATAATTGAATATACCATTTAATGCTTTTATATTTCATATTTTTTAACTACTGTAAGCAGTTTTCAGTCCCCTTTGGAGCCCCCAGTGATGCAATGGCAGGACTGATGACCGACAGGTCAGCGGTTTGAATCCGAGGAGAGCAGGTCGAGCTCCCTCTGTCAGCTCCATCTCCCCATGTGGGGACATGAGAGAAGCCTCCCACAAGGATGGTAAAAAAAATACAAAATCATCCTGGCATTCCCTGGGCAACATCCTTGCGGACGGCCAATTCTCTCTCACCAGAAGTCACTTGCAGTTTCTCAAGTTGTTCCTTACATGAAAAAAAAAGTCCCATTTGGGAGAGAAAGTATTACTACAGGTTAAACATTCCATACCTGGAATTCCAAGATCCAAAATACTCCAAACTGAAATTGCCCACATAGATGGCTGAGATATTTGTGTTGTTGTATTTATTTATATGCCACTTTTTCTTTCTGAACTAAACCTGGAGATAGTGGCGTCTTTGGTTCTGTATACACAAACCTGGGTTGATGCACAAAAGTATAAAATTACTTTTGGAATTTGTGTGTATGAAATATTAATGAACTTCATGCTTAAACTTGGATCCCACCTCGCAGATATCTCATTATGTGGTATTTGCAAATATGGGTATTTCAAAATATATATTTTAAAAAATCCAAATGATTTCTGGACCAAAGCATTTCAGGTAAGGGATACTCAACCAGTTTGTTACAGCTCAGCTTTCATCCATTATGCAAAAATAAAATAAAATAAAAAAACGGAGAAGTAACTGTACATAAACTGTGATGATCTCAGGGGGCAATTTTCTACTATACCAAACTGAAATGGGCAAAGGCAGTCCTGGCATCTATCCAAACATTAAATAGCAAAGCTACATCCAAAGTTGAGTATCTCAGTCTTCAAGGAGAGTGCAAACACACCCAGAAGCTGAGAAACTGTGATAATCTCAGGGGGAAATTTTCTACTCTGGGATCTACCAGGAACTCATGAATGGCCGTAAACGCCATCCTCCAGCAATAACAGAATTTCCACTTCCCAGAAATCCACAATTGTTTGGGCATTTTAAGAAACAGTCTAGGGAGTCTGGGGAGTTTTGACCACAAAACAACTTTAGGAATTGCATGCAGATCCATTTTGCCTATCCCTCTTCTGCAACAAAGCCAGTCCTTTTCCTGGAGTAATCCACTCAACACCAGAAATACGTACGTCATAGATTGATTAAGTGCAGAGGCAAGGGATGACTTTATTCCATTAATCTTGGCTAAACAAGAGCTGCTACACAAACAAGATTAATCCACTAAAGAAGTCCTCTCAACCTAAAGTCCATCAATAAGGAGACTACCTTTTGGACGTGCTTGCACTCTCCTTCAAGACTGAGATACTCAACTTTGGATGCAGCATTGCTATTTAATGTTTGGATAGATGCCAAGGCTGCCATTGCCCATCTCAGTTTGATATACTAGTTTATTGATAATAAAGGCCGAACGGACACCTGTGATTATGTGAGGTCTAATAGCATTGCAATTACTCACTACAATGCTCTTTTCTGGTGTCTAAAGCTTTCAGCTAGTTATCAGGAATGTGTGACTCTTTTGACACAACATCTTCGCTGACTACTTCTGGACGCAGTTCAAAGGGCTAGTTATCTTTGAAATCTTAAAAGGATTTGGTCCAGATACTGGCAGGATCATCTCTTACTTTATGAGCCCCACTATTCTCTGAAGTCATTAGGAAAACAGCTATATGTCCTGCCAATGTTTGAGGCTAATCTGATGCAAGCATGGAATTGTGCCTTCTTTGTTATCATATTCCAGCTTTCTGTTTGGCATCGTGATCCAAGCGTGAAGATTTTCATGATCTATCACACTGTAGGTCCACATGATATTTGGATATATAGTTTTGGCTTCTGGTTTGTTCACTTGTTTTACTTTGTTATTTACAATTTTGTTCTGTTTTTCACTCTTTGTTTTATATTGGATAACTTTGTCATTTTGAAAAATTGTTTATTGATCAGTTGTGAGCTACCTTGAATCCCTCGTTGAGATCGAACAGTAGTTTGAACCTGGCACCCTTCCCATTTTTTAATCTTAGCCTCCATTCACAGTTTGGATCTCATTACACTAGGGCAGGGGTTCTCAACCTGGGGTCCCCAGATGTTTTTAGCCTTCAATTCCCAGAAATCCTAATAGCTGATAAACTGGCTGGGATTTCTGGGAGTTGTAGGCCAAAAACATCTGGGGACCCCAGGTTGAGAACCACTGCACTAGGGCATGGATTCACTTTAAATCCGTTTTCTGCCTCCAGCAGAATTCTGGGGTTTGTAGTTTGGTGTGACCCATGACTTGTCTGGCTGAGCCGTTTAAAGGCCCCTCTCTAAACTACAAACCCCAGAATTCTGCAGGAAGCACCTGCAGTGGTTCTCAACCTGTGGGTCCCCAGATGTTTTGGCCTGCAACTCCCAGAAATCCCAGCCAGTTTACCAGCTGTTAGGATTTCAAGGAGTTGAAGGTCAAAATATCTGGGGACCCACAGGTTGAGAACCACTGGCCTAGTGTGATAAACTCTTTTGTTGCTCTCAACCCCATTCCATTTTATCCTCAAAGTTATACCAATAAAGCCCAACAATGTTCCTGGATTGCAATGATTTATGCTAAGTGTTTGAACACAAAACATGCTTAACAAGTTTTTTTTCCTGCAGCAATCAGTAAACATTTACAACAAATGGTTTCACCTACTGCTTGCCAGATAATCCAAGAGCATACACAAATAATACCTTCTTGTTGTAGGGCAGCAGGATCAGAATGAGAATGGATCCCACTCTCACATTATTGTTATACCTTTTTGACCCCTGGAAGGAGCCCTGGAGGGCTGAGAAACCCTAAAGCTTGGTTGTACAAGGATTGCATAGTGGAGGGATGTGGGGAGCTCCTGAAGTTGCCACAGCAGAATGTTGGTTTAGCCTATTGCTCATAATTCCTTCCTCTGTCCTTGGGGATGTTCACTGTATTGTTCATTCACTCAGTCATTTCCGACTCTTCGTGAAGTCATGGACCAGCCAGAGCTCCCTGTTGGCCGTCACCTTCCCCAGCTCCTTCAGAGTCAATCCAGTCACTTCAAGGATACCATCCATCCATCTTGCCCTTGGTCGGCCCCTCTTCCTTTTTCCTTCCATTTTCCCAGCATCATTGTCTTCTCTAAGCTTTCCTTTCTTCTCATGATGTGGCCAAAGTACTTCAGCTTTGCCTCTACTATCCTTCCCTCCAATGAGCAGTCAGGCTTTATTTCCTGAAGTATGGACTGGTTGGATCTTCTCGTCCAAGGCACTCTCAGAACTTTCCTCCAACCACAGTTCAAAAGCATCTATCTTCCTTCACGCAGCCTTCCTTATGGTCCAGCTCTCACATCCATAGGTATCTATGGGGAATACCATGCTTTAACTATGCGGATCTTTTGGCCAGTGTGATGTCTCTACTCTTCACTATTTATCGAGATTGGACATTGCTCCTCCCAAGAAGTAAGCGTCTTCTGATTTCCTGGCTACAGTCTGCATCTGCAGTAATCTTTGCACCTAGAAATACAAAGTCTGTCACGGCCTCCACGGTTTCTCCCTCTATTTTCCAGTTGACAATAATTCTTGTTGCCGTAATCTTGGTTTTATTGATGTTTAACTACAACCCAGCTTTTGCGCTTTCTTCTTTCACCTTGATTAGAAGGCCCCTCAGCTCCTCACTTTCAGCCATCAAAGTGGTGTCATCTGCATATCTGAGGTTGTTAATGTTTCTTCCAGCAATTTTCACCCCAGCCTTGCATTCGTCAAGCCCTGCACATCGCATAATGTGTTCTGCATACAAGTTGAATAGGTTGGGTGAGAGTATACAACCCTGCCGTACGCCTTTCACGGTATAGAGAACAGGAATAAGAATTGAGGGAGTTGCCTTATACTGAGCTAAGCCATTGCTTTGGTGGCATTGTCAACACTAACAGGTAGCAGCTTTTTGTGTCTTTTTCTGTATTTTTTGAGTGGCAACTATATGCAATTTCATTTCAAGTTTGGTTTCAGCTGAACCCCTTCCCCATTAGCTTTCATGTAAGGATCATTAAAATGTGTAGCAGTCAACAGCTTCTTTCAATAGGATACCTTTTTCTAATTTTCCTTTACATCCATAGTGCAAATATAGAGTTGAATGTTGTTTCTAAAGTGGTTTTACATTCTGTTTAAAGGCTGCAGCCAGAGGCTGCCCTAGGTAATTTTCAACAGTAAGCAAACAGTATTTTGGCGCGCCCCCAACCAATCACTGATATATATTTTCTGTTCGTCGTGGGAGTTCTCTGTGCCATATTTGGTTCAGTTCCATCATTGGTGGAGTTCAGAATGCTCTTTGATTGTAGGTGAACTATACATCCCAGTAACTACAACTCGCATATATCAAGGTCTATTTTCCCCCAAGAG